GGTGCTGCTAATCAAATGCCCTTGATCAATTGATCATCAGCAAGTGTGACTACCTCCATAATGGTCAAAGTTTTAGGAGTTTGCTGGTCTCGAGCATTGAGGTATGTGTTAACATAATGCCAAAGAGTAAGGTTGTTGAAAAGATGGTAGGCTTGGAACTTCAAAGGGCTCTGGAGGAAGCAGATTATCCAGATCTGTTGCAGTTGGGTTTCAAGCCAGATTATGGTATTAAAATGGCACTGATCATGCTTGTAGGTGACCTTTAGCAAGCTTGAGATGGGGACAGTATATCTGTCCTGGTCTTTCATGGCCCAGGCACAGGACTCAGATTCTGAATCTAACCTGAAGAAACTGCTCCAGCTGAACCTGTGGAATGTCAGTCTCAGGAGCCAGGAATCACATGAGCTGATCAAACACAGGCACTACCTGAGCAGCTGGAGAAGTCAGATGAGGATGCTGTAAGGCCTCCCAGCCCCCACACCCAATGAATAGAGAAGAGAGCAGAGCAGCAATGGTCTATGAGACTTCTTGCCAAGCAAGGGAGTAAATCTCTTGATTAGTGACAGCTGGCTGCAGCCTGATTTAAGAGGCAGCCCTGACCTATGTTCCTTTTGCTGGAAACAACTGTCTTACATGACACTCATGTGTGGATTCTGCCTGAGGAATTCTGACCCTTGGACTGACTGACAACCCTGACACAATGCTCTGAACCTTGGACTGATTTTGGACTATTTTTCTGTGTGCTCCTATTTGAAAGCAAATCATTCAGGCAAGTGCCTGTGACTTGGTTTGCATACTATTACCTCCTGACCTTGAGTAAACTCTGATTTACCATAGCAACTGTTTGTGAGCCAGTAATTGAAATCTGAAGCAGGACATGGTCCTTGACTGATGAGGCTTTTGATACCATCAGTCAGGTATCCTTTTGAGCTGGTTGAGGGGGTTGGGAGTGAGAGGCATGGTTCTCCAATGATTGTTCTCTTTCTTCTGAGGTTGGTTCAGGTCAGTGGAGAAGAGGTCCACTATCCTCTGCTTTACAAGGTACCACAGGGTTTGATTCTTCCCTTGCTCCTATTTAATATCTACAGGAAGAGGAGTACTGGCTCCCAGTTCTGGGTACAATTCAAGATGCTAGTTATCACTTTTAAAGCATAAGATAGCATAGGACAGGTTGCTTGTGGGACTTCCTATTCCCAGTGGTTTCTACCCATTCCACTGATTGAGCAGAGTGGGCACGTTCCAGGTCTCACTGGGTCCTAGGAAGTGTGCTTTCTGTCATAGCACCTGCCTTATGGAACAGCCTTCTCCCCAACCCCACCCCTCCAAGTTTCAGATGGCTTTGACTCTGTTGGCCTTCCAGAAGAATGTGAAGACCTGGCTTCTCCTAGGCACTGGGGGCAGATGTTAATGGAACCTGGTATATGTGTGGGACATGATGGTAAGGCATTATTACAGTGGCCTCTATTTTGTTCTTTTAATTGTGTATTATGTTTTAACTCTAGAATTGCTAGAATTCCCATTGGTAGATAGGCAGCTATATAAATGTGTTAAATATAACCTGTCTTTTCTCTAGGAGATCAAGGCTGTGCACATGAGTGTCTATCTTATTTTATCCTCAGAACATATAACTAATAAAAATTGGGGTGAATTATTTGCCCAAAGACTCTGAGCATGGCTATATATTTGATTCTTACTCAAAATTCCAGTGTGCCCACAAGATCAGCACTGAATGTAATTCAATGTGTTCTTATAAGTCAAATACAACATATGCTTTTAAAAGTATGCAGAATAGGTTACTTGAAGCTAAACAGTAAAATTAACCCTATCCAACCTATCACAAAGTAGACCTATGATTCAAAGTACACTTACACTAGGAAAATCTGAAATGTTATTTAATCGGATTTCTTCAATGTACTATTGAAAATTAAAACAGGATATTTGCGGAGGAGAATGTTGAAATTTCACAGGACTGGATGGTTCTTGCAAGGTTTCAAGATTTTTATTTAAAGGTGGAGGGAATGCCTGGACCCTTACACATGATTGTGAATGATATTCAATCCCTAAAAAGGTTGCTGACCCCTGTTTTATGAAAACTCACCTATACAACTTCTGGCGTTCTTCCAGTTCCTTACGTCTGTGATGCTTAAGGATTTGAGTCTTCTCATCTTCAAAAAGCTTTGCTGCAGGAGTGATGAAATGCAAGGATAATTTAAAGCTGTGAAATATGTCATACAATTGTTTTATTTTTATTTAATGTATATTAAAATCATTGCAATCAAAAAAGATGGTCAGCAGCTTTATATTCTTAGGAAATTATTTAGTCATCTTCCCTGTCCAAGTGATGGAGGGGCCACTTTCAGTTGAATCCTACTTCCCCTTGGCCTGCTGCCACCTCAGTATCATGCATCCTAATTCTCAAGCATTCCAATTCTGAAGGTAATGCTGTAGTGATCAGGGTCTGTTGCAGCATCTTTTTCCACATTAATTAAAACTTCAGCCAAAGCATCTCATCAGGTTGGCACTACTGCTGTCCACCAGACTCTTGGTGGTTTTCAATGTTTTGTTCTAGTGCAATGTAGAATTACATTAACTTTTTAAAATGGCCAACTATTATCATTTTCATGATGTTCATTTTTAAAATGAGTGAGAGTAGGAAGGTTTTTTTTTGTATCTTGTCGTAGGTGGTTTATGTTTAGGTATAATACTAAATATTACATTATCATGACAGGTATAGGCCTAGTTTCCCCATCCTCTTGGGTTTCTATTCATAGTTTGGAAATGATCACTTTTATTTGATGTTAACCACAAACTGCCATGTCATGTGAGGTTTTTAAGATTTTTTTAAAAATCCAGTTAAGAAAACTACAATCTAATGTTTCTTTTAGGAAATTTAGAAGCAAACACTCCAATTTCCCCAATGTTTACTGTAGAATAACAAGAACTGGGGGCACAGAAGCCTGGATGCTGGCTTGCCTCAATCCCATTATGATAAACCACTGTTTGTTACATTAAAACCAGGAACTACTACAATCATAATAAGCTCAGCTCCTCAAAAGCCATTCCTAGAACTAGCAAAATCACATAGCTGGACCAAGAGAGAATTATCAATATAACTTAAGAGACATTTCAAGCTTTACAGAAGTACAGAAATATATCTAATTTTACTGTATATTCAGCATTTAAACATTGTATAGTTTCTTTTAACATTTCACAATGCTTTTGGGTGGCAGAGAAGAGTATCAGAAAATTAATTTCAAAACCTTGTTATGTGATTCATTCCAGAACATTACTGATGGTCATCTTCAGAATTGTTTCCTCCAGATTATGTAATAAACATTTGCCATATGTTTCATGTCGTACATGTACAAATATGAATAATCAATTTGGTCTTTTGATCAATTAACCATTCTAATGAGGAAAAAATGGATACTAATGGAAAAATAACAATTGTTTCAATTTATGCTCCAACTAACAACAAAACAAAATCTACTGAAAAAAAAATCGAAACCCTTGCGGAAATTGCAGGAGGAGACATTTTGATTCTTGGCAATATGAATAGGGTTCTCTCACCAAATCTTGAAAGATTTGGGTCATATAAAAGGAATTCTGGTAAACTTCCCCAAATGTCTTAGATTATATGTCATTATTTTCTCTATCAGATGGATGGAGAAAGAATATACCTACTACTCTTTTGTTTGAAAAAAAATTACTCAAGAATAGACATGTGCTGGGTGTCCAAATCATTAACCAAATTTTAAATGTGGAAGTTGCAGATCTTAATGTAGATCATCAATAACCACAAGCTTGTACAGAGAAACATCTAGACCCAGAAGGTAGAGACTGAATAATATATTATTGCTGCAAGAATATATTAAACTGAAGGGCAAACATGAGTTAAAGAACTTTTTCCAAACCAATATAATATCTGATGTTATGTTTCTCTATAGTATTCCAGCAAAGCATTTATGAGAGGATTGCTTACCTCTCTGGTGCCTAGTAGAAAGAAAGTTATACAGAAGAAGCAAAATGACATATTGATGAATAAATTGAAGCAATCAAAATTAAGACACAAGCGGATCCAAAAGTGACTCATAATTAACTAGACTTAATGGAATTAAACAAAACTTATAAGAAGATAAATTTTACTAAACAAAAATATTTTGAAAAAAGTAATAAACCATACAAAAATTTGGCTAATCAACTGCAAAAAGAACAAAAGAAAAGAGTATTACTTCTGTTTGGGATGTAAAGAGGTTTTACATAAAACATCAGAGGAGATGATCTAATTAATAATAATTCTCAATTATACAGAAAACGGACATCAAATCCAAAGACTGAAAACTACTTATATATAACATAGATCATGAAAGTTACAGATCAATAAAGGAAGACCTCAATAATCCAATTACAGAAGATGAAACAAAAGAACCTATACAGAAATTGAAACTGAATAAATCCCCAGACCAGATGGCTTTTCTGCAACACAAGTATATACAGCACATGACTTTCCAAGAAATCTTGACAAAACCATTAACCTATGTAATAAATGAGATGTGACAACATCAAGTATTTTCTTCCTTGCTTCAAAGGAGATTTACTTCTTCAACCTACAAAGAGCAGAATATCCAGTTTGTTCATAATTATATAGACCTTTCTCTTTATAGAATGTAGATTACAAGCTTTTTATGGCTATACTTGCAAAGAGATTAAATAGCCTGATCTAATACATCCTACCAGACTGGATTTGTTCCAAAAGCATATACGAGAAATATTCTCAGATAATCAAGAAAGTGTCTTATGATTTTCCTTGATGCAGACAAAGCCTTTGATGAATGGCCATTGAATTCATCATATTCATGATTTTGAGCAAGATGAATTGCAGTTTTAATATTTTTACATGGATATAGAACATTTAAAAAGAACAAAAAGCTAATATAATGGCGGATTGACTTTTATTACAAAAACGTATTATAACAAAAGGGGATTATTCAGGCTATCTGGCAGATAGAATCACTCAGCTTCACTCTGATTTGGACACTGACTGGCAAGGCAGGCTGAAGTGCCTGGGGCATGGTCTGATTGTATGATCTGGGATGAGTTTAAACTGGTGACTCCTGAGGAACTAGACAGAGTCTCTCTGCTGTCAGCTTGGCACCTGTTTCCTGGATCCAACTGGGTTGCAAAAGCAGCCAGGGATGTAACCTGCAGTTAGATCTATGCTGTAGTGACAGCCTCTTTGAGGGTGGGGGTGATGCCCCCAGGCTTGAAAGAGGCAGTGGTGCACACCCTCTTCAAGAAGCTATCCTTGGACCCAATGGTTTTCAATAACTATCAACCAGACTCCTACCTTCCCTTTCTGGGGAAGGTAGTTGAGAAGGTAGTTGGTCTGCAGCTGATAAGAACCCTGGAGAAAATGGATTATCTAGACCCATTTCAGTCAGGTTTCAGGCTGGGATTTAGTACTGAGTCATGCTTAAAGATGACCTGGGGCAGAGCCGGGATGGTGGTGGTGCATCCATCCTTGTCCTCCTTGATCTCTCAGCAGCTTTTGATACCACTGACCATGGTATGCTTCTGAGCTGGCTCCCTGGGTTGGGGCTTGGGAGCACCATTCTATAATGGTTTTCTTCCTTTCTCTAGAGCCAGTTTTTGGTGGTGATGGTTGGGGAGAAGAGAGCACTCCCTAGCCCCTTCCTATGTGGAGTGCTACAGGGTTCTATTCTCTCTCCTCTCCTTTTCAATGTCTACATGAAACCACTGAGTGAGGTCATCCACTGGTTTGGGGTTCAGTATCATCAGTATACTGTAATACCCAATTATATCTTTTGATTCTGGGTCAGCCAAGTGAGGCTGTTGAGGTTCTGTCCTGTGCCTGGAGGTTGTACAGGTTTGGATGTGGAGGAACTGACTCTGACTCAATCCTACCAAAATGAGTGGCTATGGGTGTTTGGGCTGCCTGGATCTGGGGATATTTCATCTTTCATGTTGGATGGGGTGGCACTTCCCCATTCAAGATGGTGTGCAATTTGGGAGTCTTCCTGGGCTCACAGCTCCTGCTTAATTAGCAGATGGCATCTGTGGCCAAGGCATCTGTTTGCACAACTTCATCTGGTGCATCAGTTGCACCCTTTCCTGGTTCAGGCGGCCCAGGTCACCTCATTACTGCAATGCACTCTACATGGAGCTGCCCATGAAGACTACCTAGAAGCTTCAACTGGTCTAGAATGCAATGGTGCGAGCAGTGATGGGCTTGCCCTGGTATGCCTATGCAACACTCCTGCTGCACAAACTGATTCCTGACTCTGGGGAATTACAACACTATACCAGTTGCACTCACTTGGAAATATGAGAAACAAAGAATTAAGGAACAAAGCAGTTAACAATATGCCTTTGAAATCCCAAAAGCTTCCAAAGCAACCCAAGGTTGACACATATTTCTCTATATTCAAAAATGTAAATACATTGGACTCCCTTTAAATAGCTAACAAGAAAACTTTTAGATTCAGACTGCTCTTATATAGTGCTAATTACTCTGATGAGGCTACATTAAATCCAACTGTATATAAGCCATAAATCATGTAAGCAGGTTTTAAATTTGACCATTAAAATACAGCAGAGACCAAAGACATAGGATAGCATAAAATATACTTTCTAAAATATATATATTTATAGGGTCCTAAAAGTTAGGGGAGTAATTTCCTGCACTAAGCAATGGCAACAACTGTCCTAGAAATATTAGGGATCCAAATATTAGGAAATATTTCGAAATAATAGAAATATTAGGGAAGCAAATAAAGTCACCCTCGAAGTTAATAGAACTACTATTAATAAAGTTATAAACATAGGGCTGCACATCTGACATACTCATCCCATCCCTACCCAGCAGAATCTTTTACTGCCCCATATGCAAAACAACAATAAAAGTAAAAATATATGCAGCAGCATTAAATGATTAACAGAATCTCTAAATAGATCAACATAGCAACAATAAAGGAAAAAAGGCCTGAAGTTATCTTATATATAGAACTCCAAAAACTGTTGCCATGCACAGATGACTTTCTGATTGCTTTTTGGCTTGCTGGTGCTTCCCCCCCACAGGGAGCTCAGACCTATTAGATCAGTCCACCCCAAATGACTAATGGACCCTAAAGAATTCCAGAGGAAGCTTGGGGTTCTTCCC